GGTCTTAAATGAAAGGCTTGAGGACGTCTACTCCAGACGTCCTAAAGACGTTTTTTCAAGACGTCCTAGAGACGTTTTTGCAGAATTTCTAGAGACGTCTCTGGCTGGTCTCATATGAAAGACTTAAGGACGTCTTTTTCAGACGTCCTAGAGACGTTTGAATTTTACCAAGACATTCTTTTAAAAGTTATATAAAAATGCAATGATTTACAACACACACTTTAGATTTGCCTTAATCTAGGCAAAGGAAGTTATAAAAAAAAATGAATGTAAATAAAGTGTAATTTGATATATTTAAAATAAATTAATAACTTTACAAAAAATAAGAATAATTTTTCAAACAAAGTTACATTTTTCAAATAAAAAACTTATAGGTACAGTATAATATAATCGATAGTGCATTATAAATAGAAGAAAATTGCTTAAAAATGGAAAATAAAAATAAAAAATACAACAGTTAGTTAAGCAGACATTGATCGAAATCCATATTAGTCGATGTTTTCTTTATTCAGTCAGAAGAATGCCTAATTACTCTCCCAATAAGTTGGATAGCATCCATTTTGGTTAAGTTATTATTTGACTTTAAAGCAGCTTCTAATAAAAACAACAAAACATGTTTCAATAAGATTATAAAATAAAATATATATGTCATATATACACTTGAATACATGTCATGTTCCAGAGCTAAAAAAAATTTTTTTTTTCTTTTTAATTAAAACATCATTTTTAATTTTTAATTAATCAAACACATTAATAAGCTAATAAGATTACCAGTGAGAGAGTTACATAGACTTGCCAACTCTTTAAACTTTTTTTTCTTCTTTAGACAACTCATGTTTCTGACAAAATAGTGTCTGTTGGCAGTCTACATATATAAAAAAGAAGATAAATGCTCTACTGTCAATCATAAATTTTAAAATTCAAATTTTTGCTAAATACTTACAAGAGCAAATTATTTTTAATTGTATCAGCTAGATTTTTATCGCCAATTAATGATAACTGTTTTATCTAAAAAGAAACAATGTATAAGAAACATTGAAAATGTTTATGACAATTTAAAATAAATATTGTAATAATATATAACATACAAACTTTAAAGATGAAACTCATGTATACAAAAGTGATGTATTGAATATCTTCATTTGCGAATTTTTTTTTTCAAAACATTAAGTTTATCTAAACTTTTACGTTGTTTAAAACCTTCTTCTGGATTATTAGAGAACAGTGCAGTTCTATTTACTAAAATTTTTTTTCATTTTAGCAAGTTGGAATATAAATTTTTAGGAAACTTTGAAAAATAAAATATATAAGTAAAGCCATATAAATAGTATATAAAGTAGTAAATAGTATAATATAAAGTAGTAAATAGTAAATAGTATTTCTATATATGGTTGAGAAGAGTTAGATTTAAACTGAATAATGCAAAAAATCTCAAGTTTCATGCTTAACCTTAAAAGAATACATAAACAAGTGAAGTTCAAAAAAATTATAGGGTTTTTGTTTAACGCAAAAAACTGTAAAGAATCGCTACCTATACCCAAACGCGCGCACACACACACACACACACACACACACACACACACACACACACACACACACACACACACACACTCATATATATACATATATATATATTAAGATATGTATATATATATATATATATATATATATATATGTATATATATATATATATATATATATATATATATATATATATATATATATATATATATATATATATATGCATATATATATATAGTCAATATGTATGCATCATATAAACATTATAATATAATGTATAAATCATGTATATATAAATAATTATACATCAAATTAATTGAAACAACACAGTATCTAGGTGTCAACATAAGTAATAATCTTAATAATTATTTAAAATTTAACGAAACAACACAGGAACAACAAAATATATACAATTTATTTACTCATTTACCTATTTCTAAAGCAAAGATATTACAAATCTTAGCATATATATATATATATATATATATATATATATATATATATATATATATATATATATATATATATATATATATATAATATATATATAAATATATATATACATATATATATATATATATATATATATATATATATATATATATATATATATATATATATATATATATATATATATATATATATATATATATATATATATATATATTTATATGTATATATATATATATATATATATATATATATATATATATATATATATATATATATATATATATATATATAGGTACGCGGAAATAGCGATTTACGGAGCCGAATTTTGTGCTAAAATTCTGTGACTCGTTTTTTTGACGTTTTTTTTAAGTAGCCTAAGGCAAACGTATTTTTGAGAAGTTTCTTTTCGGAAACATATATAAACATAGTATATTTTTGGAAAGAAGAAAAGTTAAGCTTGTTTTTTATGTTATTTTTACGTACGATTGTCTTACCATTTTTTGGAGCATTTGGCTCATGAAAAATAGGTTGGTGTTTACATGTCAAATTCTTGTCGAAGGACTCTTTATTCCGCTTTTTTGATTCTTTAAATAAGTTTTTACATGCATTTTCTTTGCACATACCAAATTTTATTGAAAAATATTGTGTAGCAGATAGTTAAATCAGTTTAGCACTTTTAGTACCTAATTTCTGTTTTTCCGATTTTTTTTTAGCGGATTTTCCGTCTCATTATTTTGAGTAAGGTTATGCAAACGATTTTTTGTTGGGTTTTTTTACAGAAACGTATATACACATAGTATATTTTCAGAAAGAAGAAGAGTTAGGCTTGTTTTTTGTGTTATTTTTTTACATAATTGTCATACCTTTTTTTTTGACTATTTTGCTCAAGAAAATTATGTTGTTGTTTACATGTTCAATTATTGTTGAAGGAATCTATATTCCGCTTTTTTGATTTTTTAAATAAGTTTCTACATGCATTTCTTTTGCACCTGCCAAATTTCATGAAAAAATATTATGTAGCAATTAGTTAATTCAGTTAAACACTTTTGGTACCTAATTTCTGTTTTCAAAAATAGCCGAGGTGGGGCTGAGGGGGAGAGATTTTTTTTTTTCTTAAAAAATGTTTATTGCATTTTGTTTCACTTAGATTGTTAGTAATTAAAAAAATGAATAATATAAATGAACTGGGTAATCAAACAGATAGTAATTTCATATGTTTTTTCATAATAATACTATTGTTTATTACTTTTACAAGTATTTTTTTGTTAAACTTTTGAAAATCATTGACTAGATAAAACCTACTCAATGCTTTTTTTTAAGTAACCCCTAATTTTCGTTATTTACACCTTTATTTTATTTGTTATTTACACAGTACTTTTCTTTGCTCTTTACAAAATTGTTTTATCGGATTTGTTGCCAAAAATGTGTATTTTTTTTTTATATATTACACCTTTTTTAACATTAGCTTCATCGTCATCTCATGCAGTTGGTAAGTTAAATAAGTATTTTTTTATTAGGTGTTTCTACTTATTCTTTAAAGCTATACTATAAGTTTAATACCTTTTTTTATTTTATTTGATGACACTTTATTTTTCTTTTAGTTTTATCAACATCTGCCAGTGGCAAATTTTTTCAGATCTGTATAGAGTTAATGTCGAAATCAAAGTTATTTTGGTTAATTTTTTTACCTTTAGCTTTGTCACCATCTGCTATGACTGGTAAGTTTGAAAACTTTTTTTAAAAAACAACTATGTATAGATTTGTTGGCAAAAACTATGTATGTTTTGTTCTTTACATTTTTTTTACCTTATGTTTTATCTACATTGAGAACATTTGGTATGTTAATCTTTTATGATTTATCTATTGTATAATACTTAGTCTTTTAATTATTGTTTAAATCATTACACAAACATTTCTAATGTTTCTTTCTTGTTTAGATGCAGGCTTACTATTTCATCAGTTTTTGAGATTCCGTAAGTGATATATGATAGTGATGTATAGTGATATGATAGTAGTGTATAGTGTATAGATATGATATGATAGTGATATATAGGTGTATAGGAATGATAGTGATGCATAGGTGTATAGATATGATATTGATGTATAGATGTATCGATATGATAGTGATGTATAGATGTATAGATATGATAGATAATAGTGACATATAGGGATGACATGAACAATATAATCTTTAATGTTATTCATAATAAAATAAACATTTTGATGCCTTATAAGTTTTTTAATACAAAAGATATCTTTTTTATAATCTTTCTTTTATTGTTTAAATCATTATACAACCTTTCTTGTATAATGATTTAAACAATAAAAGAAAGATATTTAAAACAAAAAAAAAAGATATTGCCAATATCTTTTTTTTTTGTAGATAACATCCATTTTGTTTTTAGTTTTAGTTTTAGTTCCATCTACATCTAAAACAGTTGGTAAGTTTAAGAGTCAATTCTTTTTCAGTAGTGTATTGATTTAATCCTATTTTCAACTTTTTTTGTTTATTTTTATATTGCATCTTTTCGTGATATTAGTTGCATCTACATCCTTCTTTTTTGCTATTAATTACACCTTTTTTACATTAAGCTTTATCGACACCTGCTGTGGATGTCGATATCATTTCTTTTGTTATGGCTATACTATAGATTTAATATCAAACTCAATTTTCTTTTTGATTACAGCTTTTTTTTTACTTTTAGTTTCATCAACATCTACCACATTTAGAAAGTTTAAAAGCTATTTCTTTGATCACTTTGTATGTAATATGTGTATGTAAGGCCAATTTCTAATACTTTTTTACTTGGTTACACCTTTTTTTAATCTATTCTGCCACAGTTACTAAGTTTAAAAGCTATTACTTTTTAATCTCTGTAATAATTTAATGCCTAAATCAAATATTTTTTTGGTTGAGTACATCCTTTTCACAAATAGTAAGTTTAAAAACTAAATATTTTTCAGCAGTGTTTTGATTTTTCTAAAAAAGTCATTTATTTTGTTAATTACTTTTTTTTTTTGATTTTTATCTGCATCTACATCTGCTTTGGTTGGTATGTTAAAAAACTATTTCTTTGTTAGCAGTGCATAGTCTATCTCATTAAAATTATACTATAAATTTAATCCCAATTTCATTTTATTTTTGTTGTTTACATCAGTTTTAAACTTTTTTAATGTTTTTGAAAAACTTTAATGCTTATTTATATTTTATAAAAGTATTTTATATTAAATAAGCCAATTCTAAATAAAAGTTTTTAATTTTTTTTTTTGTAAGGGTTTATATAAAATGCTTCATAATGCTTTGAAATCTTAACTATCATTGAAAAGATGAATTTATACAAACACTTATCTGCAAAACAACTTGAAGATTTAGATGATTTGATGTCTGAAAGAATTGCTGGCAGAAAACTCTGTCATGAATGGTATGATACTGACTCATCAAAGTCTATCATTTATGATGGTAGACTAGAAAAAGCAAAAGACAAAATGATAGAATTTACACTATTTCTTACTGAAAACAAGATAAAACTGATATTAAAGCTGTTGAGCATAAGATGAAAAAAATTCAGCTAGCTGCTGATATTGTATTAGATGAGTTAATATTTTCTTAGTTTGAATATGAAATAATGTAAAAATGCTTGAAAAAAAAGTTCTGCAAGTTTTGTGGCTTGCAAACAAGTACAACAAATTTTGTGGCTTGCCATTAGGTAAAGCAAGTTTCGTGGCTTGCAATTAGGTACAGCAAGTTTTGTGGCTTGCAAATAGGTACAGCAAGTTTTGTGGCTTGCAAACAAGTACCGCAAGTTTTGTGTCTTGGAAATAGGTACAGCAAGTTTTGTGGCTTGCAAATTTTTTTTGATAGATGGCTCTGGCTTACCTTCACATGGTGTCTATCATTAAAAATGATTTATTTAGTTCATAAATGGAATTCAAAACATAAATCATTTACTAAAAGCCAAGACAATAGTTAATTACTTTTTTTTATTTCAAAAGACTTGCTGCTTTGTGTTTTTTTTTAGGTTGGAGTTCAACAACAAACTTGCTTTACCTAATGGCAAGCCACAAAACTTGTTGTACTTGTTTGCAAGCCACAAAACTTGCTGTATCTATTTGCAGTCTTGCAACATGGTAAAACAGTTTTTTATACTATTTTATATGTGTTTAAAAAGCATCTTTAAACTTTTTTTGTTAAATTCTAATAAAAACTTTTTTTTTAGGTATTGGGCGGAAGGAGGGCGGCTTGCACCCTCTTTTATGAAGGCAATTTATACACCACTGTAACATGGTAAAACAGTTTTTTATACTATTTTATGTGTTTAAAAAGCATTTTTAAACTTTTTTTGTTAAATTCTAATAAAAACTTTTTTTTTAGGTATTGGGCGGAAGGGGGGCGGCTTACACCCCCTTCCATGATGTCAATTTATACACCACTAGTTACTATTTTTCCAAGTATCGAAATATATTTTTTATTTTTTATACTAAAATTAATTGTTTTAGTAAAGATTGAAATATTTAAAAGAATGAAATTTTGATAGGGTGTGTTAAACCTTATTCAAAACCCAACACCCGACTTTGAGATAGACTTGTAATATTCACTAGAGATGTGGAATAAAATAATAACAATTTTATGTATAAAGATATTTGTAATTTTTAAAAGAAAAACACTTTTTTATGAAAAAAAGTGTATTTTTGTGAGGTGTAGGTGGTGGTTTAGCACCCCCTCCGAATCCCTGGATGCGCCCTTGACCTAAAATTTAATTGAAAATTATAGCCCTTTTTTACACCTATCTTTCGATACCAAGTTATAGATATTTGAATAAGAATTAGCAAAATTATAACAATTTATGTGAAAAAAAAATTTTTTTTGACCACAGTTTTATCAAGAAATCCATAAATCGAAAATTTGCTACTTAAAACGTCATAACTTTTGATAGAATTGTTCGATTTTCATAATTTTTTCACCTTTAAAATACTGTATTTGAGGGCTTTCAAATGATATATAACATTCTAGTATTTGATAAATTTAAAAAAATCAGTCCACGTACCTAATATATATATATATATATATATATATATATATATATATTATATATATATATATATATATATATATATATATATATATATATATATATATATATATATATATATATATATATATATATATATATATATATATATAACACAGACACACAAAATATTATTACTATTCTATAAAACACAAAGTGAAGTGAAAAGTCTTGGTGCAATTTTGATGTCTTTTGTTAAAATTCCCTCATTATACTTGTAACTTAGTTACACTTAATAACTAAACTCAATTTTCTTTTCTTTAAATATTGTATCGATTATAGTTTATAGATCATAGAGTATAGAATATAGAAAATTAAAAAAAATATATCTTTAAACGATAAATAACTAAACAAAATTAATAATCTCAAAATAATCAACCAAAACAAGTAGACATATTTAATTAACCGAGTTAGCGCATAATATTGTATGCGCCAAGTTGATAATATTAATTTTTATACTTATTTCTAAGGTAATTAGGACGTCTAATGTAGGTCTTAGCGACGTCAATAGGACGTCTAAATATGGAAGTCCTAATATCGTCTTTATATTAACGTCACAAGGTCGTCCTAACAAAGACGTCTTTACCGGACGTCTTTAGGACGTCCTAATTTGGTCTGAGACGTCGGGACCTAGTTAAGACGTCCGTAAGACGTTTGATTGACGTCTGTGCCCGCTGGGAAGATTTCCATGTCATATTTTCGTCAAGATTAATACCTAGGAATTTTAAAACGGAATCTTTTTTTATTTCTACTTCGTCAATATAAAGTTTAGGTAAATCATAAGGCAAAAAGCGTTTTTTTGATGAGGAGTGGAAAAGAATCCACTTTGTTTTCTCAATATTTAAGGTTAATTTATTGCATTTAAACCAGTTAGAAACTTGATTAAGTTCTTTATTCATATCTAAAAAAAGTTTGTTAATGTCTTTGTTTGACAAAAATAAATTGGTTTCGTCGGCAAACCTGATGCTTATAAGATTCGAGGCCTTATTTAGATCGTTGACGTATACTAAAAAAAGAAGTGGGCCAAGGAAAGAACCCTGTGAAACACCACATTTTATTTCAATTAATGTTTTATTTTGAAGATTAATAGGAAGCAATTCTTCTCCGTGGTAGACGAATTGCTTTCTATTTGACAAGTAGCTTTTATACAATTTTATCATTTTACCAGTTTTTCCGTAGAACTCAAGTTTTTTAAGTAAGATATCATGATTGACTGTATCAAAAGCCTTTGATAAATCGACATAAACACCAAGTGTATATTGTGATTTAGCAAAAGAATTTGAGACTTCACGTGTAAATTGAATAATGTGTTGTTCAGTTGAACTATTTTTTTTAAAACCGAACTGATTTTTATATAATAAATTATTTGAAACCAGGTAGTTGTTTGTTTTTTCTAAGATAATTTTTTCTATTATTTTTGAAAACGCTGGAAGGATAGAAAAAGGGCGATAATTATTTACTTTTGATTTTTCTCCTTTTTTATAAATCGGGATAACTTTGGCAATTTTTAATAGATCAGGGAAAACCCCCTGTTGTATAGATGTTTGGAAAACTTTAAATATAATATTTTTCAAACTTTCATACCAATCAATAATAAAGTTCCTGTTTATTCCATCCGCACCGGTTGCTTTGTTTTTTTTTAAAGATTTAAAGGCTCTTTCAAACTCTTCAATCGATAAGTCTAGGAATAAGTCATGGGAAGAGAGTAAATTATTTGAAGTTGTCAAAAAATCATTAAAGGAAATATTTGTAGATGGAATCCAATCAGCCAACCGACTTCCGAGATCAGTAAAGTATTTATTAAATTTCTTCGCTATTTCATTTGGTTCATATACACATACATTGTTTATCATAATCATTTTCGGAAGGAAATTTGAACAGGTTTTCTGTTTTCCCGTTATTTCTTTCAATATTTTCCATATTTGTTTTGAGTCGTTTTTATATTTAGTGATTAAATTAGAGTAATAACTTTTTAGGTTTTTGCGAATTTTTTCAAATAGAGTTTTGTAATTTTTATATATGCGTAAATTAGCATGAGATTTTATTTTTAAATATTTTATATACAATTTTTGTTTAATTTTTGAAGATTTTTTAAGACCCTTGGTAATCCAAGAACTACTTTTTTTTTTTGTTTTTTTTTTCTACTTTTTTTTGGGTTTTTTTCTACTTTTTTTTTCTACTTTTTTTTGTTTTTTTTTCTACTTTTTTTTGTTTTTTTTATCTACTTTTTTTTTTTGGTTTTTGGTTTTAAGGTTATTTCGGAAACGGGAAAATTCGCATCGCACACCGAGAAGAATGTATTAAAGAACTTATTATAGATTACATTTATGTCTTCATTAAAATTTATATGCTTCCAGTTTAACAATGATAATTGATATTTAAATGCTTCTAAATTTTTTTTGTTAAAAATACGTTTTCTTATAGTTTGACTTTTATTAATGTTAGGAGTTGAAATGGTGTTAATTGTTAGAAAAATGAGGAAATGGTCTGATATATCTGATTTTATAATGCCTATTTGAATGACATTGTCATATATATTTGTTGTTAAAATATTGTCAATAAAGGTGGTTGAGTTTTCTGTTATTCGAGTAGGCCGGTTGAAAAGCGGTATTGCTCCTGATAAAAATATTTCATCATAAAATTTATTTATTTTTTTGTTTTCGCTATATCGTTAGCAATCCATATTTAAATCGCCAATTACAAAGGTTTTTTTCTTTCTTTGTTGCTTTTATGAAAAATGTTGTGCTTTAAGTATAAGCTTAAATTTTCTGACGCACCACCAGGTGGTCTATAACAACATATTAGTAGAATGCTTTTGCTTTTTAATTTTTCGCTTTTATTGTTTAAAATTTCAATTGTAACGATTTCTTTATCGCCATCAGAAACGCACAAATCATTCCTAACGTTATGCGCAATGTTTTGTTTTACGTAAATCAGAATTCCTCCACCGCGTTTATTTAATTGTCTTTCTAATAAAATTGTTTCAAAATTAGGAAGATGGAAATTAGAGTTATTATTAAGCTCATTTTGTGAACACCAAGTTTCCGTTAAGCAAATAAAATCAAAATAGTTTTTAGTTTCTTCTATAAAATGTCGAAGATTTTCAAAACTTTTGTTCATACTTCTTATATTTATGTGGACGATTCTAATTTTTTTGTTTTCATCGCCATTTTTAAAAAGAAATTCTTTTAACTCACTAGCATAATGATAAAAACAATCTACTTTTAAGTCATTAAAATAATTAATTTCTGGATCTGTGTTTTCATCAGATCCAATGTATTTGTTTCTAAAGTTGAAAATAAGTGATTCATAGTCATCCATTTTATATTTTTTGTTGTTATCATTTTTTGTGTGCTGAATAAGATTTAAAAGAGTTTCTTATACTTCTAAAGCGCTTGTTACAAGTTTGGTATATAAAACTTTAGCAAACTTACCCTCAGCTCGAAGTTCTTTTGCTTTTATAAATAGAAATCGTCTTTTTTCGATTGTGCGATTGCTATAGTCTTTGTTGAGATATATTTTTTCGTTCCATAGCTTTCTTTTTTTATACTCATTTAATACGATTTTTCTATCTTAATAGTTAAGAAACTTTACCACGATAGTTCTTCTTCTTTTTCCAGATACATGCTTCTTCCCAGTCCTGTGTGCTCTTTCGATTGCAATGTTGTTTTTAATTCCGAGTTTCTCCTTTAAGAACTCTTTAACCTTCGATTCGCTATCTTCCCAAGTTTCTTCTTCTCTTTCGTCAAAGTCATCAAAACGAAGATTGTTTCGTATACTTCTATCTTCTAATTCGGCTAATTTATCTTGAATAATTTCGGTGCATTTTAGATTCTCGTTGTCTTTGTTGTAAATATTGAGTTTAACTTTAAGGTCATTTGATTCCTTAACAGTTTGTTCATAATATTCATTCTGGAAATTCATTGCTTTAGTAACTTCAGCTACTTCTCTCTTCAGCTACTTCTCTCTTCAGTAAAGCATTTTCGTTTTTTAGTTTTTCAATTTCGTTGTAAAATTTTTCTTCTAATTTATCAAATCTCTCTTTAAAGGTTTTTAGTAGAATGCTTTCATGATATTCCAGAAATTCTTTTACAATTGTTAAAGATTTTGCCATTTTTGAATTATTTCAAAATATAAAAACTTATTTTAGAAGCAATAAAAAAACGCGTCTTTTCTCGTTGAAAGCGTGCGCAAAAAAAAAAAAAATAAAAAAAAAAAAAAAATTTAAAATACTTTTTAGTAAATTTAATATGCTAAACATTTATAAATTAAATCTTTATCATCTTTTTATATTTATCTTTAAACTTGAAAAAAATAGCACCGTTATTATTAAACGGTTGATACTTTTTTCCAATGAGCAAATCTAGGTTTCGCGTTTTTATAAAATGAAGACCCGAATTATTTAAATC